CGGCGGCGGTCCCCAGGCCCGGCATGGCGGCCCCGCAGCCGCTGTGGAAGCGGGAGCCCCGTGCGGGCCGGCGTTCAGCGCCGCGAGGTGAGTCAAACCGGCCCCGGGCTCGTACTGTGGCTTAAAAGCAAGCACTTGGCCTAAAAAAGAGTCTTCTTTCTCCCCTCCCTGGCCCCCGCCGCTCCAAGCCACCGTTTATTTGCTTGATGTGTAATGTGAAGAGTATCGAGGTGCTGCCTTGTGCAACTCCCGGAAAAAATGAACAGATGGAGGGGTTTTATAGACCTGTAGCTCTTGAAGGAACCTTTAGAAGTCATTTGATCTCTCCCCCTACCTTGCAACAGGATTAAGTATACCCAAGCTGTTCCTGGGAAGGAGGGCTTTATTAAGGTCGTACTTCCAAAAGTTGCCCCAGACTGTCTCCCTGTGACCTCCCTTCACAGGTACACTTCCCTCATTTTTCCAATTGGTCGTTCATCGCTTATATTTGGTCCATAAACATATGAGTGAAGGCACACTTCATGAAAATAACAAAATGCTGGTAATACGAGGTCTTGTCATGGAAATGTACGCTAATTCTCTGCCAGACAAGTGTATTACACCTAAAGGATACAGCAGAGAGGAAGGTGACATCTAATGCTGTGGTTGCTTGCTTCCTGGTAGCCAAAACAGTGTTTTCTTCTGGGACGTGGTCTGGTTAAATCCACAAAGGCCTGGGCTGATGTAGTCGTATCTGTGAAGAGCAAATAGCTTCCGTGTGTGTTAGTAGCAGTTTGTTGCTTCAAGCAGCATTGGTACACCTGGCAGCTGGCACTGGATTTCGGCTGTGGGTAGAATCCAGACTTCTTGCAATAACCTGTTGCATAAGAGAAGTATGAGGAGAGGGAGCTGTCAATAAAAATCCTGTTTAGAAATACTGAACAATGAATGGTTTGGGCATAACTTAATTGTCTCGTGGGAGAAGTTTAGAAAACTGTTTATAATGATAATTTAGTTAGTTTCCTCTTCTTGGTAAGCAGATGTGCAGTATTAGACAAAATTTGGTGGAGGCAGAAGGAAGGCCTTGTGCCCTACTCATTTGCTAGTTGAACATAAATTATATATTACTAAAACCTAGTAGCATAAAATATTTTTGAAGAGCATTATAAATAATAGAAACTTTGAAGTAAACAGTACAAATCTGAATTTCTAATCACTTTGATAATGTAACTTGATGTACACAAATTGTAGTCAAGTATCTGATTTCCCCTTTAGATTCATTCAATTACATGTGCATTTCTACTTGCTCTGTGATGAGCCCATTCCAATCATTTTGAAGTCAGCAATGAAAAATATTTTAAAATATATATCTTTTAAGTCTTATGCATATTACCTTGCCATTCTTGTATCTTTGTCTTGTATCAGATCAGATAGTTTTCTGGGAGGTAAGCAAGTGAAAAAGAACATGAAAGTAGTTCCTGTATTTGAAAACAGAACTCAATGTTCTGCAGTAATCTCTCCAGCTCTAGGTAGAATCCAATACATACATCCTTCCAACAACAGGGGATGCGTGTCTTCAGGATTTGTTTCAGGTTATTAAAATAAAAAGGAAAGTGAAGCAGTAATCTATAAGCAGAGGTTCTTCTCTGAAAGCACTGCAGTGCAGACATCTGCAAGCTTTACAATTTTAATAATCCATCAATAAATGTAGACAGACATGTTGAAGCATGTGTATGTTATGTAAAGAAGGGGGAAACCAGATTTTAATGAGTAAAAGAGGTGATAACCTAGTCAATTATGCAGCTTTTCCAGTATAGGTTTTAGCTAAAATAATTGCCCTTTTTTAAGTTTTGTGAAGTTACTCTGAATGTGGATGGGAACTAAAATAGGTGTCACTAAGATTCTTCAGCTCATTTAAAAGTCAACTGATAAGATTATTCAGGGATGGCTAATCCATCTTAAATTCATATTTGATAGGAAAACTTTGTGCAAAGACAAGCCATTTGAAAACATAAGTATATATGGGCAATTTTAATGCTGTGCTTTTCTAATTTCTTCATGGTTGAAATACAAAGTTTCTACTGACCAACTAATTATTTTAGTGGAACTATATTTCATCTTCTGTGACTTCCTTAGTTTCATTTGGATGTAAGATCTTTGGTTCTTGTCTTAAGTTGTCACCTAACATTTGTTGGTCTTGTTAATCAGAATCGTGAAACTTTTAAGTTGGAAGGGACCTCTTGAGAGCATCTGTTCCACCCCACCCTAGAGCAGATTGCCCAGGACGGCGTCCAGTCAGGTTTTGAGTATTTCCACAGCTGAAGACGGCAACCCCTCAAGGCAACCTATGCCAGTGTGTGAAGACCCTCACAGTAAAAGTGTTTCAGCTTCTATTAAGATTTTCCTTGTCTTCTGTTCTATTCTGTTGAGTAAGGTTATCTCTTTTGGAGACTACCTTAGCAGGCATTTTGGATAGAAATGTTGTGTAAATGTCTTTAAAAAAGACATCAGTGAGAGGGTATTAGCTTTTAATGCAGCAACTAGATAAAATTGCCTAAGTTTTTTTTCTTTTTTTTTCTTCTGTGTATTGCAATCACAGTGACATAAACTGCACTTGCAAAACAGACTTCCCAGCTAACAGTGTACCCGAACTAAAGGACTAGCCTTAAGTATTTGTTTAGGTATTAGCCTTTTGGATATTTTTTTTCCAAAGGGAAAAAAAAATCCCATTTATCAAATGATTGAGGCTGAAAGTTTTAATTGGTTCTAGGGAACACTAAACAAGGTTATAGAAACAGGGATGTATCTGTCCAACAGTTACTTATCGCCAGAATAAAATATGCCATGTTTTTTTCCTACTTCTCCACACCTCCTTGGGACTATTACATTCACTGTCATATAAACTGCACTTCCAAAACAAAGTCTCTCCACTGGGAATTGGAATCCATTGGTGATATGGAGTCCACTGGCTGAATATACAGAAGCCTTCTCTGGCTAATGAAGCTCCTGATTCTTAGTGGAACTATTGTGCATGCTAGCTTTGCTCTAACCACAGGTATTCCAGCCATCTGCTTTTGGTTTTTGTCTCTTTTCTGCAACAGGATCTTGGAGTAGCTGACCCTTTTTCTATCTGGGATGGTGGCCTTTGTGTTCAAACAGAGGTTCTTTTTCTTCTTAGTGTTTATTTTGTCTTTTAAGGTAACACTTGCCACCAGGTAAGAGTGCCTACAGAGCCAAATACGATATTTTGAAGATTCCCTTTTTTTTTCCTCTTTTCTGAAACTAAGATTCTGTTGGTAAATCTTGACCTTGGCAGCTTACGTTTGCAGTATTTGATATTTTCTTTAGTATTCCTAAAAACATTGAGGGAGCTTCAGTCATAATAAGGGAGATCTTGGAGGGCCTGTTAAAAGCACAACAATTTTGTTGCAGTCACTCTGCGAAAACTGACGTCTTGTAATTCTGTGATGAAATTTGCAAAAATGAGAAAGCCAAATCACGAAAGTAGTCCAAATCTCCCAAATTTTCTACTGAGGAGACTTGTATAAAGCTGAGAAAGTAAAAAAAAAAAAAAAAATCTGAAGCATGTTTGCCTCTGTATTATGCTGTTTTGGTGAAATTATTGTGTCTGCAGTAGAGAATTGTATAATTATGTTGATAATCATTTAATAAATGACTTCAAATTTCAGTGCTTCTCCTCTCCTAATTTTACTTGAGTATTGCTTGAGTAATTGAGTAATTTTCCTGAAGAAAACTGCAAAGGAAACGTGTTTGGTTTTTTTTCTGATTTTTTTGTTTCCTTTGGGACCTTGTTCCATTTTTGTGACTGGCTTGACATTGTTGGGGGGCAGTGGAAAGGCAAAGGTGAAACAGTAAGTTATGACACTGGTCATATATGGACCAGTTATGACACTCACGTATCTGGTCTTTGTTACTTGCTTTAACTGCTGCATATTTTAAGGTTTTATACTACTGACTACCACCTTAATGTCTCAAGACCCTTCCATGGAGAATCTTCAACACTTATATTCTCACTAATCCCTAGAGTTTTTGGCTGCGCATGGTGTTCAAGAGATGTGGCATGTGTTTCACCCCCATCTTGTTTTCTCCTGTGATTCTATATTTTTTGGAGGGCAGATGGAGGTGCTGTTCTTGCAAGCACAGTTACTCTGGTAAAAGAAATCAGAGTGGTTTGTTTGGTTTTTTTTTGGTAAGGGGAATGATTTGCTGTATCTCTGGAAGCTCATTCTGAGTGGAGTTTCTGGGCTAAGAGTGTTTAGCTTTCATATGTTTTCTCTTTAATCTTGTGCATTTCTTTAAATCACGTGGTGACTCTGTATTTTAAGAATTGATTTATAGCATATTCTGTGGTTGGTTTCTTGCAGTCCTTTTTTTGTGGAAGATACTTCATTTGGTGCAAAATAATGTGCATTCCTAAAGGAGAACATACATATTTGGTGTCCTAGCTCTCAGTCTCTTAACTGCTGAACTACGGATGCTTTCATGCCCCCTCTTCTGTAACTAAAAAGATAGGAAAGGTTCTTTAAAATATCCTGTGGTGGGAAACTTCATCAAATCCTGACTTCAAACAAGACAGCGTGATTTGAGACTGGGTTTTCCACATCCAGTTGAGCATGTTATGTTGCTGGAAATACAGAGGGTTAGAAGAAGCAAGCATGTCCTCTGTTTTTGCTTATGCTATTGGTGATATTCACAAAAGGACTTTGGTTTGATTAGTTTCATTTCATGTTTTCCAGCCTAGGATCTCTTTATTTGCTGCAAGTGCTGTTTTGGGTTCAAACAAGTGTCTTAACAATTTACCCATTATTAGTTTAAAAAAACATAGCAGTCTTCATTTTATTCATTGCAGCTTTGATTTCAAAGGTAACATGGCATCTCTTGCTGCTAAAATAAGGTGCTATTTTCCTAATTGAGGACTTCTTTTCTAACTTTGTGGTTCTGCAAAAACTAAGAGTA